CCCGCGGCCTCGCATTCTGCACGCCTCCCTCCTCCCCCCCTGCCAGCAACAGGCTGCCCCCTCCCCTGAGCAACAGGCTGCCGAACAGCAGACAAAAGCAGCCTCTCCGCCCCTCCTCCCCCTATACATGCTGGGCTCCCTGGGCAAACAAAGACTCCACCAAAACAAACAAAGTGCTGGCCTCATTGTGTTAGCAAAAAAAGGACCCTCCTCCTAGAACCCTGGGTGGTGTGTGGAAATAAAGCTATTAGCTCAAAGCATGGTGCAGAGCTGTTTGGTATTTGATGAGTTACTCCTTTAGTGCTGAGTTTGTCACAGGGACAGAAATAGATGTGAAATCTTCTGAACAGGGGAACAGACAGCAAAACAAACCTTTCCCTATGCTATCCAAAACTAAAAAAAATGTTTGGCTAGAGTTTCCCCTACAATATGTACCAGTTCCAACTTACATACAAATTCAACTTAAGAACAAACCTACAGTCCCTATCTTGTACGTAACCCGGGGACTGCCTGTACTCAATTTGCCCTCCTCCCCCCCCCTTTTAAACATTTTATAGAACATTTAACAGGTTTAGAAACACAGTATCAAAAAGCTTTCAAGGCTCTCCTGAAGTCTATTATGCTAGCTACCTGCACAGAGCTGGCACTATATACTGAGGGAGCATAAGAAAACACACACAGCTGAATGTTTATCATCACTGACGGTGCCAGAAATATGTCAGAACGCCACACCAGTGAATCCTGAATTTACTGTATCTCTATCCTGAACTACTTCAGGGGCCTAATTTCCTCACCCTCACCACCACCACCACCACCACCACCACCATCACCACCCCCTGAGATGTCACAAAGGGGTGGCCTGGCAGCATTCAGACCAGCTGCCAACTCGCTGGTGCTGTTTCCTTGCTGGTTAGGCTGCCCATTTGTAGGCAAGGGCAGGATGTGTATGGGGAGCGAGGAAGGGTGGTAAGGTGTATGTGAGGAGGGGTGGTTCGGTAAAGGGGGACCGTGGATGTGAAGGAGATATAGGAATGGAGGCGGGGGGATGGGCAAGAGGAGGGGCTAGGGAGGACAGTGGGTGTAGGAATGGAGGTAGGGAGTGGGGGTGTAGGGATGGAAGTGGGGGTATGGATAGGAAGGTGGTTGGCTGTGGGCCATGGAGCTCTCCTCCCCACAGCAATGTGCACTCTTCCCTGCAAGCTGAATCCGGAACAGTGCCCCCAGGTTTCCTCCTCCTCTCCTCTTCCCTGCATGAAGCCGGCACTGGCACTGTAATCTTGAGGGTGGGGGGAGAGAGGCGAGAGATTTGAAGTCTGGAGCACCAGGCAGTTGGCGGCCTGAGTGCCGGCCAAGCAGAGGCTCCCCACCGCATCTTGGAGCGCGGGGTCCCAGAGCACAGCAAGGGGCCACTGCTGCCACCCCTGCTGTCCCCTGGCTTGGCTGTGGCCCTCCTCCCGCGGCCAGAGGCGGGGCTGAGACCAGGGCTGCCACTAGGGAGAAAGGTGAGTGGGCCAGGGCGAGAGATTAGTTGGGGGAGCCAAAAGGCCAGGGATGGTGTGGCCACCAGCTGTCCCCTTCCCGGTGGCGCTCCCAAATGACCGGGGCTGATGTGGCCCCAGCCCTCGCTACCAGATTGGGGGGGGGGAGGGGGAGCCAAACCTGCCTACCCCCAGGGACAGGGGGGATTGGCAAGAATAGCGAGCAGGGGGCACTGCCCTCTAGTTTATTTTTTTTAAAGTTTCATTAACTATTTTACTTTAAATAAACTTTAACAAAAACAAAGCCTAAAATAAAGTAAACATCAACATTAAGTAATTCACTAATTATTTTAGCAGACACCTCTAGTAAATGGACATTTCCCTCATTTCCCAAAGCTTCCCAAAACTGTCTCTCATTGCTGCACTACTAACAAAACCTTCATCTTTACCCGTAAACACTTCTACAATGCTAATGTTATAATACAATGTTACAATCCAATGTTAATATAAAAATCATGGCACAATAAAAATTAAAACAGCAGTGGCAAAGTAAATACAATTAGTAAAGTATCAGGTTCACTTTTTTCATTAAATATTAACTCATTCATTGCCTGTATTTTTTAAAGTAAATCAAGGTGGTGAACAATTTCTAATCTGTCACAGGATCCAAGAATCTGAAAGAAATATTTTTGTACAGCTTGCACACAGTACACAGGTCATGCTCATTACCTTATATCTTATTTATGGTCTCACTGAGTGATGCAAATGGAGCCTTTTGCCTCTCAAAGATTTTTTTTCTACTATGACTTGAAAGCAATCATTTTAATGAAGATAAGTGACATTACAATCAATTGTACTGAATGCCTACACAGCAAACTAATTGAAAAATATAGCTGAGTAATTGTGACAAAAGGTGTTTCAGGAACAGATTACAAAAAAAGCTAAAATGTGTAAATAGAAAAACATGAATCTTAGTAAAAGGGACATCTAAGAAAAAGGATCTGATTGGGAATCTTTTTTGACCATGAGACTAAATATACAAAATCCTAATCTTAACTAAATTAAATTCTATTTTTTGTGTTAGTTTAAAAATTGATAGTCAATAAAAGCTTTCTACTGACACAAAAAACGAAATTATTTGTTAACAGATTTGCCCACTTGTCTTCTCTGTGTGTGTTTAAGTGGATCAGTATACTGTGAAGAAATTGATATTACTGCTATTCCCCCTCTGCCAAAGGAAACAGCCTATCTTTATGCACGATTCAACAAAATAAAGAGAGTAGCAGTCTCAGATTTTGCTGATATTCGTAAGTACATTTAGACTTTAATCTTTTTCGTTTGGTGATATGTGCTGATAGTTTAAAGTTAAATTCTTCCTTGCATATAGAATAAGGATAAATACCATAAGAAGATACATTTCATATTTGTTGTTGAACTCCGTCGTTGCATTTACACACACACACACACACACACACACACACACACACACACACACGTCCACTAATATTAGAAAGGAATTGTAAAAGCAAATCTGAAAACCTAGCTAAGCCCAACCTCTGAGGTGGGAGGTAGGATAGTTATGCATATAAGACAGCTAATATTGGGACAGTCCTCTTAATAATCAAAATGTCTTTTCACCCTATTCACAAAATACCATGTATCACACAATTAGTGTTTTGACTGAATCTGGGTTGTCTTAAAATAACCAGAAAGTATCAAGAGGAATCAGAAAGTATCAGATGGCAATATGGCAAAAGCTTATTGGTTAATTCTATGGACTACATGACTAGGGCTTTTGCTACACTTCTAAGGTGAAAAAAGCACCATCTGCAGCCCAGGGTCAGCCTGACGCACTTCTCCACACAGCATTTCAAAGTGGCAGCAGCAGCACCGCACAGAGCCCAGAGTTAGCAGGGGAGTCCTCACCAGATCCGGGCTCCACTCAGGGCTGTCACTGTGAAATGCCACAGGGAGCCTGGGGTGCCCCAGCTGGCCCCAGGCTGCACATGGTGTTTCAAAGGGGCAGCGCCCCAGGCTCCAAGTGGCGCTGCAGCTTTGAAATACCCCTTTCTCCCCTCCCCCGCCCCGCCATTTGCTGCTTCTTTCTGATAGAAGCAGCAAGGTGGGGGGGGGCAAAAGGGGGAGTGACTAGTTGACTAGTCTGCTGACAATCTAATAAGCATATCAGATAGCCAACTAGTCCTTCGTCCTTCATATCCCTACTTGGGACAGGCGCTAGTTGCTGGGCTCCCATCCAGGCTTATATGCCAGCAGCAGGTCTGAGGGCTCCCTCGCCACCAGGCTCTTGGAGAGGCTGAGCGTGGTGCCTGACTGCCTGGAGTCTGGTTGCCCTGTGGAGACTCAACCTCCCCCCAGCGGCTGCACTTACTGTGGCTGCCAAAGCACTCCCCTCCCCAGCCAACCAGGAGCTCCCCCCCCAGCCTGTTGGCTCCTTCTTTCTGCTCCCGGCAGGTGGACAGGTGGCCCTGTGCTCTGTGGGCAGGGCTGGTGCAATGAGCAGAGCTGACGGAACTGCATGAGGGAGAGGTTGGGACGGCGCCCCCTTCCTCCCCCCCCCATGCTGCTGCTCTGCCCTTCTCAGCAGGCTGCAGTGCCCCAGAGTGCCATGTACACATGACACTACCAGTACCTGGCTGTCCCCGACACGGAGCAGGCAGGCACCCCTGAACCTCCCCACCTGCCAGGGTTAGAGTCTGGCTTGGCGTGTGCTGCGGCAGACGGGGTGGTTAAGATTGGAAGGGAGAGAAGGAGCTCAGGCTAGCAGGGGGGGAAGGAAGAAGGGTCCCGGGCTGGCATGGCAGGGAAGGGAGGATGGGCCTGGAGGGAAGTATAAGGGACCCAGGCTAGCGCCCCCTCCCATGGGCCAGGGGGAGGTGAGAGGCTTGCGTAACCCCAGCCAGAGGGAGGTTGGTGAGTGCAGTGAGAAGGGCCCCCCCCCCCAGTAATTTTAAATGGGTAAAACTACTTATTTTTCCCAGCCTGGTTTGTGAGAGGAGCTGACCTGTATTTTGTCAACCTAAGGCACTGGTGGAGAATTTTATTCGAAACAATTAAAATTTAAGAAAATTATAAGAAACTGAAAAAAAGGAATTTGTAATGTAAAGTGTTAGGCAATCATATTTATACACATTTCTATCTGAGTCACTTATAACAGAAGTATTTTATGCTTTACTATGTTTTATACACCATTGAAATAATATTCAAGGTTTTGTTTCCGTTATATAAAGCTACATTAAGAAGAATTGATTTAACTGGAAATATGATAGAAGAAATTGAAGATGGTGCCTTCTCAAAGCTTCTGTTATTAGAAGAACTTTCACTTGCTGAAAACAAATTGATAAAACTTCCAGTTCTGCCTCCAAAGCTAAATACATTTAATGCAAACTACAACAGAATTAAGAGCAGAGGTATCAAAGCAAATGCTTTCAAGGTAAGTAACAAAGTATATACACTCCAAGTTACAAAAAGTGGAGTAACTTAAACAAGCTAGATAAACAACCATAATAATAGTATATAGTGTTTGTTAAATATCTGTAAAACTTTATTGTAAAACTCTGAGCATAAGTATAAGCAGTTTTTCAGATTTTTAAAAAATGCATTTTATTTAAGGTATACAGAACAGCAATGCTCTGTTAAAGATGCAAATTAGTTTAATTTAAAGTCCAATTTTGCCCCTCCTCACTTCTAAAATCTACACAAAGTACATTTGGTCTCCAAAATGGTGAGTCAGAGCAAGGGCCAAGGCAACATTTTAATTTTTTTTAACAGAACAAGAAGGAAATTGGACAAGAGCTCCTAAAAGAGTTTTCTTATGAAAAGGTTTGAGGAAGACCAAGAACCTCCCCAAGGTTCTTGATACTTGCTGTGGAAGCTTCCTTTCTGCAGACCTCAGAAGACCTACATAATGGAGGAAAATGACACCCTGTTCTCTCACACAGACACCTATGTTCTTATTCTTGAGAAGGTTCAGAGGAAGGCAACAAAAATGACTAGGGGGCTGGAGCACATGAATTATGAGGCGAGGCTGAGGGATTTGGGCTTATTTAGTCAACAGAAGAGAAGACTGAGGTGGGATTTGATAGCAGTCTTCAACTACCTGAAGAAGGAAGGAGAGGCGCTGTTCACAGTAGTGACGGATGACAGAACGAGGATCAATGGTTGCAAGTTCCATTGGTGGAGGTCTAGGTTGGATAGTAGGAAAAACTGATATTAGGAGGGTGGTGAAACACTGGAATAGGTTGCCTAGGGAGGTAGTGGCATCTCCATCCCTAGAGGTTTGACAAAGCCCTGGCGGGGCTCATTTAGTTGGGGTTGGTCCTGCTTTGAGCAGGGGGCTGGACTTGATGACCTCCTAAAGTCTCTTCGAACCCTATGATTCAGTACCTTCCTCCTTCTACTTCATAAATGTGAGTTCCATAGAAAAAGACCTTTGGAAGAAAATCAGATTATCTACAAGACAGGACAATTCTTCCCTACCTATGACTCAGGCATTTTGTTAATTTTCAATTAGCTTCCATTAGTTCATCCCAGGCTTGGGTAGTTTATTTTGTTTCTCTGGGACTGAGGAAACTACTAAAGCTAGGAAATCTGAGGCTCTGAGGAACATTCTAAAACTCTAGAAAATGCAGGAAGAAAAAATGAGAACACAAAGCTAAATATTTTCAGGTTTTCTAGAACAGTGCTTCCCAAAGTAATCCACGAAATCACTCTACGAACCCTGGTAACTGTCAGCTCCCATGTGTTTATTTACCGGCTCTGCAGCTACGGAGCCTTGCAGCTCCCGTTGTAGATAATAAGATGTGATTATGTAACTAAACTAAACAAGGCTTGACTTTATGCTAATTGTGAATTTGTATGTCAGCTTGTTGGCACAGCAACCCAGGAAAACATGTTGGTATATGGCAAGAAGAGATGACTCAAAATAGAAGAATAAGTGAAAGTACCATGACACTTGCTCACCCCGTCCTAATCCAAAATTCTTCACTGCAACAAGGACATAGCCAATGTCCTTGGGCGGCCAACCAGGAGAGACTCTAATGATTCAATTTCCAAGAAAGGTTAATACTACAAGATGCGTTAGTCTCAGCCATATTCAAACACCCAAATTTGGTTTTTTTAAACTTTTCAAAAATATAACAAATCCTGTTCAAGCAATTTCTTAGTATGTTAGGGCAGTGGTTCTCAACCAGAGGCACATGTACCCCCTGAGGTATGTAGAGGTCTTACAGGGGAGTACAGGCAGTCCCCGGGTTACGTACAAAATAGGGACTGTAGGTTTGTTCTTAAGTTGAATTTGTAAGTGGGAACTAGTACATATTGTAGGGGAAACTCGAGCCAAACATTTCTCCAGAGCTCAGTTTTATTCTCCTACACCTCACTTCCCTCAGTCCTTTATTCTCAAGCTGAGGTGTCTGCTGAGAAAAGCCGCTTCACGTTTCCCTGGTCTGCTGGGGGGAAGCAGCTAGTGCGGGGTTGCCTCACCCCGTTTGTAAGTAGGGATCAGATGTAAGTCAGATCCATGTAACCCGGGGACTGCCTGTACATCAATTCATCTAGATATTCATCTAATTTTACAACAGGCTATATAAAAAGCACTAAGCAAATACAAACTAAAATTTCATACAATAACTTGTTTATACTGCTTCATATACTTATACAATGAAATGTAAGCACAATATTTATATTCGAATTGGTTTATTTTATAATTATATGGTTATAATTGCAAAAACAAGCAATTTTTCATTAATAATTTGCTGTGACACTTGTATTTTTGTGTCTGATTTTGTTGGTAAGTAGTTTTGAATCTAGGTGTAACTTGGGGTACTCAAGACAAATCAGACTCCTGAAATGGGCACAGTTGTCTAGAAAGGTTAAGAGCCACTGTGTTTGGGTAATAAAAACCGTATTTTCAACAAAAGAACACACATATAGGATGGCTTTACAGACGTACATTAGCCAAGGTATGGATTCAGAAGAAAAATATCTATTGTTAGAGACAGGCACAGAGGGACTGAACTATTGACAAGGTAATCAAGGAAAAACAACATTAATTTTTTCTCCTTTCTTTTACAGAGGCAGGCCAATTTGTCATACCTCTATCTGGCACATAACGCACTGGAATCAGTACCTCTTAACTTACCAGAGACCCTGCGTATTCTGCACCTTCAGGTCTCAAAGTTGTTTTTTTTTTTAAATGTTGTACAATGAAGGACACAACGATTTAGCTAAAATCAGACCATTCTTGCTGTCTTTCATTATCTGTTTCAAATTTGGTTTACACTATTGTTACCATCATCCAAAAACATTCCCCTGAAAACTAAACATTAGTATATACATGCACCTACCGATGTTTAGTGCCATCGTACATATGCTCATCCTAGCTTTGAAATGTTAAAAAGCAATCAAATAGTTAAAATAGAAGGTCTCCTAGACAAAAAAGTTGTTTGGTGGCTGACAAACTATAACACTGGAATTTGTCACTGCTTTGTCTATAAATGTTGTTAGTTTCTTTATTTCAAGGGCAGTGCTGGGCCACAATGAACAACAGAATAACCCTTTGTCAGCAAAGTGTAGTAGATTTCAGTACCAATGTATAACTACTGGTTAGTAAATGCAAACAAAACTTAAGATTCAAATTCAAAAACAACAAAATAAAAAAACCAAGAAACACAACAGAATTAACTAATGCTAAGACTCAGATACTTTCCTTAGATTCTGATGCTGACATTTTCAATCTGTTTGTTTGTTTTTCAGTTTAACAACATAACCTCTATCACAGATGACACATTCTGCAAATCTAACAACACACGTTATATCCGTTCACGTATGGATGAGATAAGAATGGAAGGCAACCCAATCATCTTGGCAAAGCATCCTAATGCTTTTTCCTGCTTGAAAACACTGCCTGTAGGGGCATATTATTAAGCATTACATATTAATTATACATGCTAAAAACTTAAATATGGTAACAGATAAGGATTCCTGTTTCTTTGTTTAAATGACTATATTCTTTCCCTTATTATGTTTTCTATATACTAGTGAACTTTTAACCATGTTAAAATGTAGCTCTAGTCTGAAAAAAATCACTATGTAAAACATCTTCTCACTTGTCAGACCCAATACCACCTGTACTTTCATATTCATGTAGGCTTATGATAGCATCAAAAATATGGGCTTAAACCCGCAACACTTACTTCTGCAAGTATCCTTTATTCATAAGCATCAAATGCCTTTAACATTAGTGGCTTTATTGAAATACTTATATGAGTAAGATTGCAGGCTGTAAGTATGCATTACTTTATTCATTCTAAAGTTGCAAAGCAAACACAGCTGTGAGAATGTTATTGCAGCTTGCACAATTGCTAATTAAGTTGCAAAAGACAATCATACACACACACAATTCAATTGTAAGTTGGGAGCAAAGGGGTTACACTGGTGTAACAACAACAAGAAACTAGCTTAAAGTATTTTAATTACTAATTAAAATCCATGACCTGGGAAAAGCACAGGTTCAAGTCTTTTTCTCAATCAGGAAAAGTCGTTGAGTTTAGATCAGGTTTTGATCAGGTGAACTTTTGGTAAACCAAGTTTCAAATGGAACTCACTAAGAAAAAATAATGGTGGACTTTTATAATCACTTTTTGGAATAGAATCCATAATCTATTCTATTTTATAATCACTTTTTAGAATAGAATCCATAGTTCAATACTTAAACATGTAAAATAGACACTGAAAACTTTGTAAATGCTTCGGAATAAAAGGCAAAGCTGGTTCTCTCTTAGACTGTGAAACTGCATGAAAAAACTAATATAAATATATTACCAACATGGTTTTACCCTTTTTGCTTATTTTTGGACTTAAGCAATACAAAGGGACACATTCTCATATTAATGCTATGGGCTTTTAACTGACAGTTCAATAAAATTAAGGTAACTAACTATACCTTAAAGATATTGATTCTGACTTAACACAAATACACAATTTTAGATTATTTCTCTGTTTGTTTTTGTTTGTTTCAATAGGAACTTGCACAGTCCTTATTTGGCTTAATTGCTTCAAAAAAATAAATGTAGAAAGAAGCTAACAATTAATACAGATATTAGACTTATTTTTCCTGAAAAAATGGTATATAAAAGGAGCTTGCTGAAATGGGAAAAGTTCTCAATTTCATAGCTACTTTTTTATTTGTATAGTTATTTAAATTTCAAATACATAATGGTATTTCACTATGACTTTAGAATCACTGTTTTTCTTCTGTAATACTAAGCCAGCTTAAACTAACAACTTTTTTTTTAATTCTAAGTAAACAATAATATGACAGTGTTTGCATTATAGAGTATTATTACATGAGCAATGAATATTGTTGAACTGTATATTGATATGTGCACATTAAAAGCTTGAGATTCTAATGCTATGAAAACTGACACAATAGGTTTTTAGTAGTATCAAAATCAAAAATTGTTTAGCTTGTTTTCATTTTCATTTTCATTGAGACAAAAGTGATTATTTTATTATAATTATTTAAAAAATAAGAACAAGCAAGATTATCTTTAATTCATAATTAAGAAAAATCAGTCACGCTTGCACCTATATTGTTTCATTTTTATTTCTTTTAAATCCCCTGAAGTTTGAAAACTTGTCTTGTTATGGCTGATAAATTCACAGACACTAACAGCCAGAATACTTGATTTTAATTTTCCATTTTAAAAAAATATTATGAGTCATGAAACTACTATGCTTTGAACGTAACAAAATATAAAAGAAGGAACTCCGCAGCACCCACAATTACATTCCAAGTTCAAAAGAAGCTGTGACAAAAGGAAAAAAGAAAAACATTTTTTATCCTAGTAGTAGCCAATGAATAACAGGAAGAAGATTCATCTTAACAATAGCCAGTATAAAAAATGTTGTATATGTAGCAGGCACACTAGATCTTCCTCTTTTCATTCCAAATATTTATTAATGAAGAAAGTTCTTTCCATACTTAATAGGCTCAAAGAACAATGATTAAAGTTGATTTATGATTGATTTCCTGTGAGAAAGTGGGTTTGTATAGATCAGCAATATTTCTTAAAAATGATCTTCAGAAAAGATTTATTTATAGGCTATACGACAAACTAAGAGCTAAATTAATTTAATCTCCTAGTATTCTAAACTAAAAAACTAAAATACAAGACAAGACATGGTCTCTGAAACATCAGAATATGTAATTTTCTATAGTTTAACTTATCATCTCCAACACTGGCTCTTAAAAGCCTAGAGCAGTGATTCTCAAACTGGGGGTTGAGACTCCCAAGTGGATCACCAAGGCTGGCTTAGACTTGCTGGAGTAGGCCAAAACCCACACCCAAGAGGTTCAGTCCTGAGTGCCACATCTCAGATTAAAAGCCACCGGTGGTTGGCCTTTGGCCTTCGGCCTTCCCACTGAGGCTTACAGGACTCAGATGGCTCAGGCTTCTGTTCACCCTCCTGAGGTTATTTAGCAATTTCTGTTATTAGAAAGAGTACTGGGCAATGAAGTTTGAGGACCCCTGCCTTAGAGTAATATAGTATTTGGGCTGGGAAATAAAGGATTTTTTAAAGTCTATAAAGTGTTGTTTCCCCTTAATTTCTAACACTCTTTTAGGAAGCTGAATATAGATTTCTTAATCTGTGGGGAGTTTGCCAAACTTTTTTTGTAATCCTTTTTAAATGAAACTTGAAATTATTTTCTTTTTATTAGTCTACCAGTATTAGTTAAGATATGTCAGCACTGCCCAGAACTGCTTGTTATGTGAAATTGCATATATTCTCTACCAGCAGCAGATGGCCTTGTGTATGTTAGGGGTTTAGCCACTGATGTAGTGTAGTGGTTTTCAAACTTTTTTTTCTTATGACCCAGTTGAAGAAAATTGTTGATGCCCCACAAGCCAACTTAATTTGACTAGAGTGCAAGCTCTGGGGTGTGGACAAGGATGAGAGCTTTGGGTTGTAGGAGGGGGCTCCACCTTTTGGGAGGGAATTAGGGCTGGGGCAGGAGGGGCTTACCCTGAGTAGGTCCCAATCAGTAGTGCAGCCAGGGTGCTAAGACACGCTTCATGACTCTCCTGGTACCGCAGACCATGCTGCATCCCAGAGCAGCCAGCAACAGGTTCCCAGCCAATGGAAGTGCAAAATGGGGTGTGGGAGGGCCCAGAAGCCTGTGCACTCTACTCTCCCCTCCCCCACCTAGGAACCAGGCCTGCTGATGAAGCACAGTGCAGTGTGCGGTGTCAGAATAGGCAGGTAGTTTGCCTTAGCATCCTCACTGATCCTCTGATTACCCTGAAGCAATGAGACCCAGTGTCTGACATTCCATGACCCACTACTGGGTCATGATTTGTAGTTTGAAAACTACTGATGTAGTGGCACCAGAATGAATCCCTAGTGTAGATACATTGGACTGGCGTAGTGATTATGAACTAGTGTTGATGAATTGGTATAGCCACACTGATGGCTAAAATCTAAGAGTGAGGGCTTACAAGATATTGTTATTATCTGAATTCTACTTAAAGTAAAGTAATTACTCTTTCAGGGAGGTAGGAGTTATAAATTATATACACTTAAATTTACATATTTAAAATCTGGAGCACAATCTCTAAGGGTATGTCTACCCTGCAGAGCTATTTTGGGATACCAGAAGTATCCCTAAGTAGCTATTCTGCGTCTACTGAAGCAGCCCATTATTTTGAAATTAATTTCGAAACAAAAGGCAGCTTATTCTGATATCCTGGTAACCCACGTTCCATGAGGGTTAAGGATAATTTCGGAATAATGAGTTATTTCAAAATGTGGTGCTATGTAAACAGCACCAAATTACAAAATAAGCTATTTCAAAATATCATTGAAATAAGCTATGCAATTTGCATAGCGCAAATTAAGTAGCTTATTTCAAGTTAAGGATCCTATGTAGATGCACCCTAAGAGATTACATTTATAAATTAATTTTGAACTTTGTAATGTTTAACAATGTCACTTTAAAACAACTGCATATATGTTATTAATTTATTCAACATTATTAATTTATCTATGTCAGTGTTTCTCAACCAGTGGTATGAATACCCTTAGGGGTACTCAAGGGACATCTGAGGAGGGTACATCAACAACTGAAATTTGAAGAAAACTGAATTTTTGTTTTACGTTTACAGCGTTTTTATTATTTTTGTACTTTCTACACCCAAGAATTTAATCACCCATCCAGCTATGATTAAGTTGCTTAAACAAACATGTTGCAATAGTAGAAAAAACATTTGTGTGTCTGAAAACTGCAGGTACTGGGGGTATTTTTTTTTTTTTTTTTGTGGAAAAAGGGGTACCTTAGAAAAAAAAGTTTGAGAAACACTAATGTATGTTATTAATTTATTCACATGCTATGAACTCACTGAAAAGCCAACTTCACTTTCTTGCTTTACTGCACTTTATTTTCTTGTAATAATTACTGATTCCTTGCTTTACAATTAGACACTGATTACCATAGCTATCGTATTTTTTGTCGCTTTAAGATTTTACTGCAATTACCTGTTCTTATATCACTTAACAGTTTTAAATACAGTCCAATCAGCCACATAAAATACATGCATAATATACATTTTTATGTGTATAAATTCAAACAAGTTTGATCTTTCAATCTATAATATGAAATCATTAGGGCTCCTAAAACAGAAAGTTCTACAACTGAGCAACTAACACAAACCACTTGTGACTGCTTCAAACGCCAAAGAAAATGGTTGTGTGGAGACTGTCACATATGTGGGACATTTAATAAAAAACAACTGATAACCTGAGGCAACCAGCTGACTCTAACTTTCGTATCAGACATTGGAAACAAATGAAAAACTACCCTCCAAACCACTGTTTTAACGTCTCCCACTAATATTTTATTGTGCTCCAGCAAAGTATCAAAACTAAAATAACATCTTCAAGGTGAATCTTTAGACTACTATAAAACACCATAATCAACACTGTCATTATTTCCAAATACAAACCTGTAACAAAAGGCTCTAGTGAGATATTGTGCAAAGTTATCAATTCAGAACATTTATACAAAATCTAATTCCAGACAAAAATGGTGATACTGAATGAAGGGTCACAAATTAAGATTTCTGTTGTAAATTCAATATCAATCTTTATGTTTAGTATAAATGTACCCTTTTTTATTTTCAGGCATGATATACTATTTTAACCAATGCCACCCCTAAGTGCATTAATAATAAAGCCAAAAAGATATGCCATAGGAAGCAAGTTTACATCATGATTTCTGTTGTTTGCGATGTTTTAAATCTCTTGCTGACACTTCTTCCTCAGAAAAAACTCCTTATATGCCTGATAAAAATTATCACATTGTTTTCAAGAACAAGTGGTCCCCTAAATCTCTTATTGGATCTATATTCATTAATCATGCTTGATAAAGGAAAAAGGGTGCTCCAAAAGTATGTCTTTCTTAACTCTCTTCTAATATTTTTCATAGAAAGGAAAGTAAATTTACAAATCATTACATTTTTCATCTTGATGGCTAAAGTAATAAAGATAATAAATTGAACACTCCTATTAGTTAGCATTAGTATTTGTAACAAATGCCAAGAATCAAGGCAAGACGACCTTTTCTGTTCTTTATTATCCAAGATATTTATTAATGAAGTCTTTTGCACATAATATTTATGGACTAAGGCCAAGTCTACATTGGCAGAGAAAAATTGATATAAGATACACAGTTCCAGCTACAACAATTGCATAGCTGGAGTTGATGTATCCTACATCGATTTTCTAGTGTGCCCCAACAGCTGGAGGTTGACAGGAGAAACACTTCACTGACTTCCCTTATGCCTTGCAAGTGTGAGGAATACCATGGCATTCGGTATTCTATTTAGCAGATCTTTACTAGACCTGCTAAATTGAACAACAGAAGATCACTCTCTGGAGCGTCAATCCTCTGATAAGTATAGACAAGCCCTTAGAGCAGTGGTCTCCAACCTTTTAAAGTATGGGATCACTTTTTAAATTTAAGTGCAATCCAGGATTTACCTCAAACCCAAATACCCTTGTCCCACCTCCTTTGAGACCCTTCTCAAAGGCCCCGCCCCTACTCACTGCATCCCTTCTCCCTTTCCCATCCTTCCTCCCTTTCATCAGGCAGGGGCAGAGGGTTGGGGTGCAGTTGGTGGTTCAGGGTACAGACTCTGTAAGGGAGTTTGGGTTCAGGGGGCTCAGGGCTAGAGAAGGGGTTTGGGGTGCAAGAGGGGTACATGACTGGGACAGAGATTCAGGATACAGGCTCCAGCTGGACACTGCTTACCACAGGTGGCTCCTGTGTGGTGGTACAGTGGGGATAAGGAAGGCTCACTCCTGCACCTCTCTCAAAAGCAGCCTGCAAACTCCCTCTATCCCAAGCCCTGATGTGCACCCCCTCTGTTCTGTGGAGACAGAATACAGGGTGGGAGAGGGAAACAGCTCCAAGGCAAAGGGCAGGAGATGTGCAGCGGTAGGGAGAGGAGGCAGCTGAAGTGCTGCACTTGATAGCCTCTTGGCCAAACCAGTCAAGATCACCTGTCAGAGGCTCCAAGATCTACCAGTAGATCCCGATCAACTGGTTGGTGACCACTGCCTTAGAGAAGTGAAAATAGCTTTCAAAAAGATTAAGATCTGATGTAATATCTTAGTAAGAAATCAGGGTTTTTTCAAGATTTTCTTTACATTTTTAATATGTATATTTACTAGACTTCTAAAGGAACCATATGCCTAAATACGAAAACTACAGAAACTTTTTAATGAATAAATTTTTATCAAAATATCCCTACTATTTCTTTATATTCTGCTAATTCATTTCAACAAAATGGGACAAAATATTCTGGGGTTTTATTTCACTGAAGTTAATGCTCTTATCTCAGAGATGAAATTGGCTTAATAGGTTTTACACTTTTTTACCAATTTCTCTTAATTAACCATTTTAAAACTAATCTTTAATTAAAAGATTCTTTCAAGCAGAATTGTATGTTTTGAAAAAATATAATGGTCAATTATTAATTTGTGAATTAATTTGAAAGAGGGTTTCAAAAGGAAAGGTAGGGCCAACATTTTCATATGAACGTTAGATTTTTCAGACAAGAACAAACTTTCTGTTTTCCTAAAAATTGTGTGTCTACTCTTTCTAGACAAAAAGGAGGGGAAGGGGAAATCTTACTTTTAGATGACAATACATTCAACAACTCAAAAATCATTTTAAGTAAAGGGCCACAGTCAACTTGTATCACAACACTTAGCAAAATTAAGACACAATTGGTTTTTGTATTTTGTTTTTTTGTTAATTTGCAATTTTGTAATGCTTTGACACTACTTGGTCAATAATCATTATCCCTGTTTCCATGTATAGTCACTAAGGCTACGTCTATACTGCAGTGCTATTGTGGAATAGCAGAGATATCCCGAAATAGCTATTCCGCGTCTTTTGAGCATGTCCATTATTTCAAAATGTAACAAGCTCGCTATTCCAACATCCCCCTAAATCTCATTCCACGAGAAGTAAGAGACATTTTGGAATAGCAATTTATTTTGAAATAAGTGTTGTATAGACAGTGCCAAATTTAGAAATAAGCTATTTCAAAGTAACATCGAAATAAGATACACAATTTGTGTAGCTCAAACTGCATCTTATTTCAAAATACAGTATAGACACACTAAGTAAAGACACAGGTGATTATGAGAAGTCCCTTAAAATAGCATAACAGAAAAAGGGGAAAAAACAATAGCTACATTGTGCAAGGTGCTTTGACAGTTAACAGAGATATTTGTAAGTCAATTTTAAAATACAGCAAGTTATCAGTATCTCTTTAAATATTAAGTTTAAGCTTTAAAATGATCACGTGTTTAAAATGAGAATTATCATTATAGAAACATTGTCACAAAACATGGGAAGAGAAAAGATCACCTTTGCAAGATGTTTTTAAAGGTTGTTGCTTAAAACAGGCATAGAAAGTTTCAATTATCTTCAAGCCAGCCCCCTTTTTAACTTCAAAATGTATTTTAGAATAAGTTAATGTATTTTAGAATAAGTCACATTCACTATAGAAAGTTCTTACGCTTAATGGTTGCTATCATGGAATTTACCCACATCAACGAAGGACCAATAAACCATCATTGCAACTCGTAGCATCCATATGTTCTTAGGACTCCCCCTACCTCATTCTTTCTGATTCTTCACATAAGAACTCACAGAGGAGCTTGGATAAATGTGTACACAATGATACTAGGGACTAGAACACTTTGGGGTGGAATTATCAATCAGTTAGTCATGGCAAAGATTTTTTTCATAAGATAAAATTTTATTAATCTTTACCCACCACATTCAGGACCCAGTTAGAAAATCTCCCTATACATCAGAAAATAATTAGGTTATAGCACTGTTACATTTTAGATGGAAACTGAAAAAGGTACAGTATTTCATTGTGGACAGTAAATATCTGAGCAGGATAAAATTACCACAACATCACAAGCAGCAAATGGCCTACCTTGCTACAATCTGTAATGCCACTCTTTCACTGAACCTCTGAGCATAACTAGGAAGGGTTCTGCCTTAGCTGGAAGAATACTGGCAAGAACTTCCATGATAATATCAACAGCCTTTGCGGTGTGTAAAATATTTAACTAAGGAGACCAGATCATATTTTAGCCATCTGTGGTCAGATAAATGATCAAATTTGGAGGTCAGATTGACATTCACAGGAAGGACAATGTTTGAAAGCTTTCTAGACAACCCTGAGGCCAGGAGTTAAAAAGAGCAACAAAGGAGTCAAGAATCACATGAGCAAAAAACTATATGAATGTACTTAAGGAACAATACAGAACAGTGATGGAAAAGCATGCATTTGTAATCAGAGAAGAAGATATTAAGTGTCACAGAATTATGCTAAGTGTATGAAAAAAAGTGGTACCCAGCACTTGATAGGATCATGATATCTATTTGCATCTTGGGGTTAAAAAACAATGTTGATAAGTTAGTTAAATGAGTACGGCATATGCCAACTGTAGCTGCGCATGTTGAAATTAAAAAGAAAAAAAGGGAAAAGCACTGTATGATCATTAATATGCCAGGCACACTCATGGACACTAATAAAAATAAGAAAGATCAATTAGACATACCTCTAAGATGTTCAGGCTATATTTTTAAGCCAATAAAAAAATATTCATCATAAAAATTTGTTCAATAGCAGAACATCCTTTAAACAGTTGAAAACATCAACTAAAACCTTATGGATAAAAAAAGTTAAATTGTATTACCATAAGGGAACAAAGTTTCAAGACTTATAAGAAAACTGTAAAAGTGAACTGTGGTCCTGTACAGTTCTATTCATAGCAAAGTCCTAAAGATTTTGGAACCTTTTAATGAATTTGGGTCCTTACTCTGTCTTACTCTGAACTGATTTTTGCCTCAATATAGATGCTTATTCCACTTTGAAAACATATTTTAACATCCCCTCACAAGCTAGTAATCATGCATATATCAACAGTCAAGTCACCCCAATATAAATATCTAAAATAATTTTTAATATATCCATAAAAAAGCATGGAAAATTGGATTCAAATATTCAGTTTTTTCCTCAGATTTTCCATTGGCTCTTACTATATTGCTGGGTGTCTTTTGGTTTTCGTTTTTTGGGGGGGGTTTTGCCCCCAGTAAACTACATGTGGCCTGAAATCCTCCAGCTTTCCCAAGGACCAGTGGGAGCTTTTGTGAGCAAAGACAGAATGAAGATAAAACATCATTTGACTATAAGCTTCAGGGCTAGATTTTGCATGAAAGACCTTTTCCAATTGTAAGCTTGTAAAATTTCCTGTAAAAAAAAACAAAACAGGAAATCCCTGCATCTTTCCTCAAGTTGCATCGCTATTTCTTTGGCATCTTCTCCTTTCTTGAACTACAGTGGAAGATAAGGTCAACATTCAAAATTATCTGGACAAATGATCTGAGGTAAAGATGATGAAGTGAAATAAGGACAAATATAAGAACTCCACTTAAGGAGATACAATCACACATACAAAATGGGAAGTGACCATCTAGGAAGGAGTACTGTAGAACAAGAATTAAGGGCCATAGTGGACCACAAGCTAAATATGAGTCAACAGTGTGACACTGCTGAAAAACAAGGAAAACATTCTGGGATGCATTAACATGAATGTTGTGAGCAAGATACAGTAAGTGATGCTTCTCCTCTACTCAGTGTTGATTAGGCCTGAACTTGAGTAAGAGGCGGTTACTCTCCTCAATAGTAACTAATGTTCTTCGAGATGAGTGTCCCCGTGGATGCTCCACATGAGCTCAGAAACGATGGCTTCAGAAGGCCAGGATCCCAAAGTAGAGAGGAGGAAGGAAGGGTTATGGAGCACCCATGGGACACTCATCTGCACCTTACTGTATAGAAGGACCATTTGTACTTGTTGTGAGCAAGTTAATTCTATTTCAGAGAACCATCCAGTAGCCACACCTTCAAGTATAGTGAGTGAAGGTTCGGTTGGCCAGCGTGGGAGTCCAGGTGAAGAAGGAGATTATTGATGCAAAGTAGGTAGATCAGTGGGGCGTGAGACATCGCCACTAGGAAGAGGCACCATGGCTGGCATGGCCATGTTGGAGTTATAAGTATGAGATGGGCCTTGTCCCTCCTTACCTTGTGAACAACTCTATTCAATAGGGTATAGGAGGAAAGGCGTAGAATAGGTGGGACATCCATGCGATGAGGAAGGCATCTCCCATTGATCCCTTGACTATGCCCACCCTGGAACAGAATAGGGGGCATTTCCTGTTCAATTGCATGGCAAACAGGTCTAGGATTGGGTGGCTCTACAGATGGAAGATGTCTACCAATAAGTGCTGGTTCATTTTCCATTCATGTTCTGTTGGGAGGGCTCTACTGAGTGCATCTGCTGTTGTATACAGGGTGCCTGGAAGATGCACTGCGGTGATAATCGTGTTGTATTTCAGGCACCAGTTCCAAAGTGCTCTGGTCTCTGCACAAAGTGCTTGAGATCAGGCTCCACCCTGACGATTTATGTAAAACATTGCTGCAACATTGTCTTTGTACAGTCTGACATGGCTACTGGCGACAAAATGGGAGGAATTTGATGCCTGCATTCCTGACTGCTGCAGTTCTAGGATGTTTATGTGCAAGTTCTTGTCAGTGCTGGACCTCAGGCCCTGGCAGGTATGATGTCGTAAGTGGGCGCCCCATCCTGTATGAGATGCATCTGTTGTCATGGAAACGGCTGGTTCTGGTGGGTGGAAAGGGACTCCAAAACAAAGGTCCTGTGGGCTTAGCTATCAGTGTAAGAATTCCTTTATTATCCCTGGAAGGGCTAGGGATTTGGATAGCGGATGGACATTGGGTTTGTACACCTATCCCAGCCAGATATGTAAACATCTCATTTGCAGCATATTGTTGACTATGAAGTTACACACCGCCATGTGTCCCAACAGCTGAAGGCATTCGAGTGCTGTTGTGCGGGGGCTGAATCGTAAGGTATTTAACCAAGGTCACAATTTTTTGAAAACGGTCTGTAAGTAGGTATGTGGTGAGTGTTGTCGAGTCGAGGCATGCTCCTATAAACTGTATCTTTTGTGTAGGAGTGCGCATCGATTTGGTTTTGTTCACCTGAAGGCTATGGTATCAGAATAGGTGTCTTGTGACTAACAGAGAGTAGCAAGAATTGTTGCATGAGCTTGAGGAGGCAGTCATCTAGATGAGGAAATATGATAACTCTGTTTGCTAAGGTATGCTGGGACAACTGCCAGCACTTTTGAAAAGACCCTTGGGGCTGCAGAAAGTCCGAATGGAAGCACCTTATATTGGTAGTGTTCAGAATCTACAATGAAACGAAGAAAACTGCCTGTGTGCAGTGTGGATGGTAATGTGAAAATATGCATCTTGCAAGTCGAGGGACAAGACCCAATCATCCTGTTCCAATGCCGGTAATATGGTAGCAAGCATTACCAGCCTGAATTTTTGTTTCTGAACAAATTTATTTGAGGGCTCAAAGGTCTAGAATGGGCCTCCAACCTCCGAACCTTTTTTCAGTCAAGAAGTAATGGGAGTAGAACCCCTTGCTCCCATATTGCATGGGGACTGGCTCAATCACCCTTATGTGTAAGAAATGCTCTACTTCTTGTTGAAGAAAGATCTCGTGAGAGTGGTCCCTGAAAAGAGACGAGGAAGGGGGATAGAGAGGGAGTATGGACACAAAGGGAATAAGGTAGCCTTTTTCAATTATCTGCAGGACCCATCTATCAGAGGTTATACATTGCCAGTTGTTGAAGAAGGGTGAGAGGCTCTCCAGACATTCGGCCTGATAATCAAATTTACTTATTGGACTGCTGCAACTGTTGGGAGAAGACGGCACTATTGGTTTCTGCCTCTGCCCCATCGTTATTGGTCTTGTCTATTGAAAAGTTGTGCATATGGAGAGTATCAAGGTCTCAGTAGGGCTGATACCTATATTGCCTTATTCTAGGTGCTTGGTTGTGGATCCCCAAAGACTGAAGCGTAGCTCTGGAATCTTTCATGGAGTGGACAATTTCGATGGTGTTAGCTACAAACAACTCCTGACCGTCAAAAGGCAGATCTTCCACTGTAGATTGAATCTCTCTGGGGAACGGAGTGGAGCTAAACCGTGATGCCCTTCTCATTACTAATGCTGTTGCTGAAAAATGTGCAGCCATATCGGCAGCATCTAAGGCGGCTTATAATGCTGTTCTAGCAATTGTGTGACCCTCGGATACCAGTGCTTTGTTCTGCTGCCTCTTAGCCTCAGGAATACCTGCAACAAAATCATTCAGTTTGGGATAATTTCTGTAATCGTATTTGTTCAATAAAGCTGCGTAATTCAAAATGCAAAATTGTAAAGTAGAAGACATATATCTTGCACCCAAATGCATCAAGCCTTTTGTTATCGTGGTCCGATGGAGTAGACCGGTATTGTTGCTTTCTGGATTTTTGTTGTGCAGCTTCCACCATGAGGGAATTAGATGCTAGGTGAGGAAAAAAAATATTCAGAACCCTTGGGTGGGACATAATATTTCTTATCGGTTCTCTTAGCCGTAGAAGAAATTAAAGCTGGAGTTTGCCACACTGTCTTTGCCAGTTCCATTATTGCTGGATTAATTGGCAATGCTATTTTTGATGGTGTTACTGAGTGCAGTATGTCTGTTAGCTCATGCTGATTTTCTGCAACCTCTTGAAGAGGAATGTTTAATTCAGCAGCTACATGTTTAAAAGGGTCTAGGGAATGTGCAGCGTCATCTGAAGTAGTTGAAGCTGGGGCCAGAGACCCTTCCTCCACTGGGGGGGTAGGTCATTTTGGTGAGGAGGGGGTTCTGCCTCCTGTGTGAGAGGGTCCCCTTCTTGTATTTGTTTGGAGGGGGGATATTGCACTCTGTGTCATTTCCGGCCATACTGGTGATTCTGATAATATTGCCATTTGTCCCAGTATTGCCAGTAAGGCTCATGTGGAATATCCAAGGATTGCCATAATATGAAGGCATATTCCCAAATCTGGAAGAGTAAATACTCTGATGTGTGTAAGGAGAATTCTCCGGTGAAAACCCCCTAGAGAATTCATCATCAGATTCTGATTAAAATCTTTCCTGAGAAAGTGATTCCTGTGATGTTAACAGAGCGGGAGAGTGCTCAGGTTCTAAAAATGGTGAGTTAAAAGTCGATGAGACTAATAAATTCCTATGTTGGGTCTAATGCCCAACAGGCATTGTCAGTGCCATAGCAGGAAGCACAGAGGCTATTTGAGGCACTGAATAATGCCTCAGGGCAAAGGATACTTGCGATGCATCAAGCACCTCTGTGGTGGCAGCTGAGGTGCCTGTTTACATGATCGGCACCATGCTCTTATGCTGCGTTGGCAAGATTGTGTCAATGCCAGATGGTTCTGCAGCTAATGAGGCAGGAATCTTAAAGCCTGATGCCTGAGAGTGCGATTTAACGCATACCCGCTGTTTATCTGCACTGGGGGCTCTGGAGATGCCAGCAGTGTCAGACATGTTGAGGTGTGGTTCCACCAGTGCCCTCGACACTGGCCATGAGGGGCTCAGCCATTTCAATGCCACAGTCCGTTGTGGTGCTGAGGAGGCTCGCTTTTTGGAGAGCTTCTGGGATCCCCACTGTTTATGTTCCTCGGGCTGCTGGCCTGGGTCAGAGACTAATATAAACAAGTTTTCAAATAAAAATAACTTGAGGCTGAGGTCCCTGTCTTTCTGCGCCTGTGATTTTAGCTTTGCACAATGAAGGCATTTCTGGGAGTTATGCTGCTCTCCAAGGCAACAGACGCATTGTGAATGACCATCCTATATTGGTATAGGCTCTTTCCATGAGGCGCAGCGCTTAAACCCCGGTGAGCCAGGCATCCCTGTGGGAGCAGTCAGGAATTGCAGGAACGGATTAACTGGGAGAAAAAAAAAAACCCTTATAGGTTTGGGGTGGTTTTTTTTTTTTAAACTAATGAACTAATTAACTATTTAACTCACTAATTAACTACAATGAATTTAACTGGTTTTCAAGAAATATAATCATAGAGACACGAAGAAGCTTGGGAGCACAGCTGAGTCGTCTGTAGCTGGAGGTAGTAGAGAAGGAATTGAGCTGGGAGGGCAGGGGGGCTCGCACATGCGCAATGCCTGCAGCCTAATAGTGTGCGGCTAGTGGTACGCACATGTGCAGCCCCAGGGACACTGCTATGAAATCTCCTCTCTGAGGCTCAGTGGTGACGCACCAACCTAATGTGGAGCACCCACAGGGAGCTCTCTTGAAGAAGAAAGTGTCTAGTTCTGGGCACTACATTTCAGGAAAGATCTGGAGAAGGTCCAGGGAAGAGCAACAAAAATGATTAAAAGTCTAGAAAACATGACCTTTGAGGGAATGCTGAAAGAACTTAGTTTGCTTAGTTTGGGAAAGAGAAAACAGTGGGGACCTGATAGCAATTTTCAAATACCTAAAAGATGTTACAAGGAGAAGGGAGAAAAATTGTTCTCCTTGACCTGATGATAGGACAAGAAGCAATGGGCTTAAATTGCAGCAAGGGAGGTTTATGTTGGATATTAAGAAAAACTTCCTGCCTGTCAGGGTGATTAAGCACTGACTGAAATAAATTGCCTAAGGAGGTCATGAAATCTCTGTCATTAGAGACATTTAAGGGCAGGTTGGATGGACATCTGGCAGGGATGATTTGATGGTGCTTGACCCTGCCAAGAGAGAAGAGGACTAGATTTGATAACCTCTCAAGATCCTTGCCAGTTCTGAAATCTACATGTGGTGCAAAGAGGTTGCTTGATTTTTTTTCTTGCATATTTATTTTACATTTGGTTGGTTGGTTGGTTTTTTAAGGTCCAAAATACTGTAAATGTTAAGCCATTTCCTGTAAATCTTTGTCCCTAATTATGCTTTTTAGGGAAAAAATTATAGCATGACATCTTATGCTATTAAAGTTTTAAGGATTTGAACAGGTAAATTCCATAACATTTTTACTATGAGATCCATTATTATACAGTCATATCATATATAAAAAAAATTATTTTTGGCTACAAGAAGTAAAATTTGAAATTAATGTTTTTTAAAATAAAAATTCTAAGGAATAAGTAAATAAATGTTACTGCTTTGACTTGGTAGACTGAGTCACATTTTGCCAATTGGTTTGTTTTTTAAAATGTAAATCACTGTTCTTCCCAGTAAATACTATAGCAGAATGAAGGAAAAACCAGCAAAGAACAAATTATTATTTACAAGGAAAAATAAACAAAATAAAAGCAAGTAGTAAACTAATTGAACACTGTCATTTAAAGAGAAGAGTGAGGGGGCATTTGACAGCAGTCTTCAACTGCCTGAAGGGAGGTTCCAAAGAGGATGGAGAGAGGCTGTTCTCAGTGGTGACAGATGACAGAACAAGGAGCAATGGTCTCAAGTTGCAGTGGGGGAGGTCTAGGTTGGAAAACTATTAGGAAAAACTATTTAATTAGGAGAGGTGCTGGAATCGTCATCCCTACAGGTTTTTAAGTTCGAACTTGACAAAGCCCTGGCTAGGCTGGTTTAATTGGGACTGGTCCTGCTTTTAGCAGGAGGCTGGACTCTATGACCTGAGGTCTCTTCCAACCTTATGATTCCACAATTCTATGAAAGTTAATTAAATTCTCCTATTACAATTAAGTGACAATTGCTCCTCCACCTGCGTAAAACAGCTCCGAATGGGAATGTAGCCTTCCAGAGATGTGAAAGGCTCAAATTCAAGTTATTGCTTATTACATTTGAGAAACGGTGTTTAAAGGTGACAAAAGCCTACAAATGTTCCTTTATTTTGACATCATTTTGGAGTAGTTATTGTTTAAAAAAACAAAACAAAACACACACCTCACTTATAATATAACTAGCCAATTAGCCTGTCATAAGACGGGATTTTCAGGTCTCTCCTCCACGTTGGTCTTCTCTCCTGAGCCTCCGGTCTCTCGCTCCATACGTCTCTCTCTCCTCCTCCTTCTGCCTCCCCCCTGCTCTCTGTCTCTCTTTTTCTCTTCTCCTCCCCCTCCTGCCTCTCACTTGGGGGACCGCGGAGCCCAAACCGCCGTTTGGACTCTGCACTCCCAGTGCTGCATGGGGGGTGTGGAGCCCAAATAGTCACTTGCTCCCACGCAGCGGCCCGGCTGAGCGGCGCAGAAGTCAGCCAAGCGCCATGGTGGGAGCTGAAGGGGGGCCGGGGCGGTGATGTTCACGGCCAGGGGGCGGGGCCTGCAGCTGCTGTCATGCCGCACATCACTGCCCCACCTCCCTTCGCCTCCCGCCGTGGCACCCAGCT